TTAAAAAATAGTCCGCTATGTAAAATTAAAAGCTTCTGATGCATAGGGCCTTCTGAAGTGCCTTGTGTATGTACATCATTTTAAAAATATTTGTTTTACTTCCCTGTTTTATTCTGATAAGAGTCCCATGTTTTAACAGCTACTTGGTGGATAGCAGTTCAGCAGATGAAGCTTTTCCTGGCATTCATGTGGAGAAAGTTGCTATCTACCTGTTAAAAACATAGCAGTTTTGTAGCCAGATATAGCAGAGTTTATTTTAGCTGAGACACAAAAGAATCAATATTGCTATTCAGGTATCAAATTTCATATTAAAAAACACTATAATGGTATTAAACAGAGTTTTCGCTGTTCTCCATTTTTAACCTATTTGTTTTCCTACAGTCATTTCATATGCAATGATATCATTTCAGTTTCTAATTTATTGAATGTTTCACTTCTCTTGCAGTGATCTTATGACTTCTCACTGCTGTGACCTTAGTTTGCCTTTGTTTGGCAGGGAAGCTCCTCTTCTAAGAAGGTTACTAGGGCTCAGCCCTGAGATAATGATACAAGTTCTAAATATAATTATCTAGGCAGAGAAGTTATCTTTCTGATCTGGTTTTCTTTCCTTTTGGAACATTAATTTGAGGTGGGAGATACCTATGCTGTTGCTCCTAACAGAAGGCTTAAACTGCAATCTTTTGCTTTTCAAGTAGTCCTGTTAAAGCATTGTAGAATACCTCAGTGTAACCCAATCCAGTGAATGCATATAAATTGGAAATACATGTCACTGAGTTCAGTGTGTCTTTGAGCTTTGACCTTAGTCTACAGCTGTACACACATTCTAACTTAGATATTGCATTGAAATCTGCTTCCAGGAAAAACTGTTTAGGATTAATTTGATTCTAATAAATCTATATGAAAGTATTTGCAATTCTGTATAAACCGTACCAATGTAAATGTTTTTACATCAGAGAACTTCCTGTTTTAACTTGGAAGAGCCAACTTGTATGTAGAATATATTAACAGGTAGAGCAAGCTGGATTGGGACCATTTCATGGAGAAAGCATCGGGACCATAGAAATGGACGTAGCTGGTGCACCATGATCTAACTGAAATGAGGTTTTCCTTTCTCCTGCCTACCATTTGGAAAATGTTATGGAGGGACAAAATAACTCCCTAACCAATATGGTAATGGTTACTTCAACTGGGAATTCTAGGAATAATTATTCAAAAAGTAACTGTTCTAATATCTGGGGTCTCCCAGCCATTCCAAGAATAGATTTTCTTGACTGAGCTTTTATTATTTATTTATTTATTTATTTATTTATTTTATTACAAATATTTTTACCTCACCTTTCTCCTTGAAAAGGACCCAAGGCAACTTATAACATTGAAAGACAATATCTAAAGTTTAAAACAACAAATAGATAACAATAATTAAAAGACAATATTTAAAGTATTACAGTAATCTAGCCAGGAAGTATCACAGTGGCCAGATCAGATCACTCAAGAAATGGACGTAGCTGGTGCACTAGTTTTAATTGTGTAAATGCACTCCTGCCTACCCCTGAGACCTGTGCATCCAGATTCAGGGATGCAAAAATGTTTTAAGTGAATTAATATATTTGTAAGACTTTTAAAATAGACAGCTTTCCTGACTAACACATGGAGAGAAGGGCAAAACTGACAACTGATCCAATGTTTGTTTCACTGATATGGTTTGTGTCATTCATATTGCAAAGATAGCAATCAACTGAGCACATTCTGTGGCAGCAAAATCTGTTGAGGCTCTTGTTACAGTGCTGTATTTAGTTTCACCTATGGTCATTTATCTGTCTTTTCAGATAGACAGATTTAACCTAAATGAGAGAAACAAAGGATTAAAGCTCTATGTGTGGATTGTTCTGAGACCACTACACTTTATAATTTTGGTCCCTTGTTTCCCATGCATGATGGTTTCTTTTGTTTAAATAGTACCAAATCAATGTAAAGGTGCTGGAATTGAGCGCACTGCCAGCAGAGATGCTGATTCAAGCCACAGCACATGAGAATGTGCTCCAGAAATACAGTGCTGATTTTCTCTTAAGTATGCATGTTTAGGTTTTGGCTGTGTGGCTGGCTGGCATTGGCATTTAACAAGAACATATTTATTGGATCAGACCAAAGGGTTAGTTCAATATTCTGTTTACACAGTGGCCAACCAATTGCCTATGGGAAGTTCATAAACAGGACATAAGAGCAAAAGCAACTTCCTACTACCCATGCTTTCCAACAACTGATACAAAGAGGCACACTGACTCTGGTACAGAAGTACATGTAGAAATATATATATCCATCATGGCTAGAAGGCACTGATCATTCCATCCTACAGAAATTTGCTCTATGTCCTTGTAAAGCCACCACTGTCTTGTGGTAGTGAGTTTCATGGTTTAAATAGGTATTGTTGAAGCTCCTCTTGTGCTGTTTTTCTTTTAATGTATGGATGCTGTTAATGTCGTGTAGAAAGCCATTCTGAAATCAAGTGCACATTCCAGCTATTGTAGGCTCCTGGTTGCCATTCCAGACTTGTTTAAATGAAATTCTTGGTACACTACCAACAACTTATCTAAATCTTTATTTGTACTTGTATGCCAAATCAGTCTATAGTAAGATAAGCAAAGCTACTTTCTGTGCTTTTTATCTAACACAATAAGGAGGAAGTCTGCAGCTGATTATTCTGAAGTTGTAAAAATTGCTTGTTGAGCTATATCTGTTTCTATGTTCATTGACACAACTTGTATCAAATTGTAGTTACAATGTTTTGGTTCTTATGTTCCATCAAGTTGCGTCTGATGTACGAGGATACTAACAGAGTGTTCAAAGTATGTGAGATATTTAAGGATATGTTTTACTGGTGCCACCTTCACCTCCACCTTAATGAATCTCCATGGTCAAATGGAGATTTGAATCTAGTTCTGTCCATTACATTCTTACTGGCTCTCAGGTGCAATAGGACTATCAAAAATTTCAACCAGCTCCTGCAGGGACTGTTTTTGGCACAGGCTGATGTATAGGAATTAACAGGCAAATCTTTTCACAGCATGGAGATAAACATTTGCCCCTTTCGCTATCCCCATTCTCCACAGCAAGGCAGGAGTGTTTCTAGCTCTGAAGCATTCTGGATAAGGAACTCTCTGAAATGATTACAAACCCCAATAAAGTAGGGGTTCTGGACAGGGCCTGCCTTACCATTGTAGAGTAAGTCACCCCAGTGTGAAAAAAAAAATAGCACATTGTTAGACATTCAATTTATTCTGATTGTATTTTTATAACAAAAGAGGGGGAGAGGCGCATATAAAATTTTTGCCTCATGTGCCAAAAGTAATTTGGCCAACTTTAGGCATTGCATGTCTTGCTCTAGGGGGAGGGAAGCCCATGCTGTTCTGACAGTAAACGTCTTACACTGGCCCTGGTTCTAGAGATCATAGAGACAGTCTATATGTGTTTGGGAAGGTTCCACATTACTGATTGCCTGAACTCAACTGGTAGTCCCAACAAGAGCAGATCATAAAATCAATGGGATTGTGTAAGCATTGATTCACAGTTCAGCAACTCATTCAGTAGGTCTATTCTAATTGGGACTGGTAATTGGATTTAGATAATTTCCCAAAGCATTGGGAAGGGAGCATGGTAATGTTCGTTTGTTTTTAAATTCATTATAACCCCAAATGGTGCTGGCTGGGAGATTCTGGATTTCTGAGGTGTTGCATAGGCCATTTTGTATCATTCTCTTTTCATCTTTAGCTTTTCTTATCATTTACCATTGAATGCTTGAACAATGCAGTTATTGAAGGTCAAAGTTTTAAAGGCACAGATGTAGGGGTGGTTGAAAAGTTTGTAATTTTGCTGATTTGATGCATGTCAGGTACAAATGAAGGTACCTCTTGTAATGTTCAGATAAACCATCCTCTCTCTGATCATGAGCAACTTGCGGGTAAAAGAAAAGGTGCAACAACTGAGCGGGAAGATCCATAGCACGCAATACCGCAATCTGTACAGTGGTGTGAGGAAGAGGCTCTGTACTCATTCTCCTGTACAGTTCCTGTTTTCTTGCAATATTTCTTCCTGTCTTTTCAGAGGGACACCAATAGAGTTAAGCCCATGGCTCCTTTTCCTGAAGAGGAAAGGATATGGTCTGGTGGTACAAAATGCAGCATTGTTGCTAAAGATAAGCAGGATTGTATCACTTTTCTAGGACCTGGTATACCCATTTCATTGGCTATGTATGCAAGAAAATATGCACATGTTTGTTCTTCTGTATCTTGTGTGCAATTGTTTCTGTTTTTCAGTTTGTAAAAAGGACAGTTAACCCACCATTTACTACTTTAGGTTTCTTTACGTGTTGTTTCAAAAGCACATAGAGGGGTTTTCCAGCCTCTCATGTCTGGGAAAGCATATCTTAGGTAAAGCATTTTTAAAACTTCCTTGAGATCTGTTCCAGCCAACACCAAACAATTTTTTTGCTCTACAAACAGTATTGCTGCAAATGCTTGTCCAGAGAAAGTTCCTGTTTTACATCTCTACAACTTCCTCCCACAGAGCTGGGTTTTGCAACTAATATGAATGTTGCCATCCTTTCTGCAGGCCAAGTGGGAGAAAACAAACAAGGAAGGAATTATTTATCTCCCCTCATTTACTCATTGTCTATTGTGAGAAGAGTTGGCTGATGCTAGCCAAGTCCCTGGAGGAGTCAGGATCCACCAAAGATGTTCTTCAAGGGGTTGGCCAGAGTTTTGAAGAAATCATTTTCTCTGGAGAGCATCTGTGTGATACCATCTACATTGGGGCTCTCCTTAAATATTTGAAGGCAATTTGTAGAGAGGAAGAGGGTGTTTCTAGGCTGACAGTTTTTAGCACTGTCACTCAAAAAGCACAGTCCAGTGAGCCCCTCTTTCCTTTTTTAACAGTATTACTGGAAACATGTTGGAGAATTGCTGGTGAAATTTGACAATAACATCTGGATTCCCTATAAACCTCTCTGTTTAGTGTAGAACAAGGGCAGAAGAAAAAATGGTGTGGTTTCAGTTGGCACTTTTATGTTACCACCTTCCCTGATTCACTGAATTTTGTTGGAGGCTTCAAACAATGATGTGCTCCACTTATAATCCGCTTTTATTTTTCCACTGTTGCTTCTGTCTTCCTTTTTACCATACAAAAATATGTTAAAGATGAGAAAGGTGGAACAGCATCATGGTGCCTTCTGATAATTGCAATGTATAACTGCCTGTAGTTGTTATTGGAACATGACTTTTGTTACTTCAACATTGCATGTAATATATATATATGATAATATTGTGAGGTTTTTAAAGAGTGGCATAACTTAGAGCAGTCATTCTTAACAGGAGTCTCTGAGGGGTCCTGGCACACTTGAAGGGAACCACAGACTGGAAATAATTTTTCACACACTGCCTTATAAGGTTTTGTCATGTGACTTACACAATCCTGATTTGGCCTATATTTCTTTCATATTTATGGCTGTGGTCAAAAAAAGGTTGAGAATGGCTGGTTTAGAGCCTCAGATTGTTTTAAACTGGCCGTGGCTGTGTAGGGCTTTTAATTCTAAGTATTGAAAGCTCTCTCAGATTGCCTTCCATTTTCTGAAAGCACTGCAAACAGCTTAGTTTGTCCAAAACCTTGATTGTTGTTTGCATCAGAGCTGGAGTTATACAAATCGACTGATTGGATCAATCCTTTGAGGTCTCCCCATCTTATGCTTGACTTTGTCTGTCTTCCCTGACCAGGGTGAGAAATGCTGGTAAAAGCCAACATAATGAAGATCAAGCTTGCTGTGAAGCAGTGTTTGTGGAAAGAAGACGTAGTGCAAGGAATAACCCAACTGCCAAGGAAGCTCCTGGTGATTCAGAAGGAGTAAGCACCAAGGCAATTGAATTTTTTCTAAAAACTGAAAAATAATTCTCAGTCCTACACTTGCACCAGAACTTAGAGGGTTACTTACTTTGGGCTAAACTCTTGGAACACCATAGCCAGAAAGATAATGTACAAAAAATAACTTTCTCAAGATCTTATCTGCACTTTCTTGCCAGGTTTGTGGGTTGGGGGCGGGGAGGTGTTTTTTGATTATTCAAGATGGTTCAAACAAGACATTAGCTTCTTCATGGTTCTCATGTGATACATCCTCTACCATCTGTGGAGTGGGGTTGCATGAAAAAACTGGACAAGAGAGGCTTCTTATACATAGAGTTTGTGGTGGAATTTAGAAACCCTTTCCCTCTGTCATGATCACAAGAGTCAGTATAACGTACATTTTTTAAAAAAATCATTTGTTTGCCAAAACAGATATAAAACATGTAGGATATGTTAGAGGTGATGAATGTTTGGGGGGCTGTTAGAGTGGAGTGGAGTAATAAGTTTTAGAATATATGATTTAGAAATTGCAATGCAAAAAACAAATGCCAAAGCAGCTTAAACCTGGCACATGAAGCAAATGTCTGTCATTTGCAAGATTTGGACAAACATCTGGTAGAATGCATCCAGGAATTCAGGTTTTTATTTGTTTGTTTTTAATTACATTCCCTCCAAGTAATCTGTTCTCTGGGGCCTCCTTTCTGCTCCTTCTGTCGAGTTAGGCAGACCCAAAGTATTTTGCTGCTCAAGGTAAAAGACAAAATGTTCCTTTCTCCTTTAATGCACACCAACAGGCTGATTAGACTGGACTACAGATGATTCTGTGAACCTGTGATGGCTTCCTTCCCTACAAGTGGAGGCAGCAGGCCTGTGTATGGGATAAGGTCTGTGGTAAACACAACTGTGACTTCCAAGAGAGAAGAATGGGTGGGATTCTCAAGAACAGGCGAGGAATTGCTCCGTATCTGCTACCTGAAGTGCCAGCCTTACCTATTAGAATTTGCTCCTTTCTCCTCATGACTATTCATCGCTGCTCTTGCTGCATCTGCCATAGCAAGCAGAAGTCAGCACAGCAAACCACATCAAACTTTCTCCTCCTAAGCCTGACCCTTTTCATATATACCGTACATGTGAATACTTAAATCTCTCTCCTTGCTTTCCTCTGTCTCTGCTGACAGAGCACTCAGTTAGGAGTCCAGGGATAAGGATGGTGGCCCATATGCACACATTTATACCAGGTGGGTTAAACTGATTCCAGGCACAGAGATGTCCAGAATACTGCTGAAACTCCGAGGTGCAAAGACAGCTGCTTTATCTCTTTAACCTTTTCATCCGAATGGTTTTGGCATCTCTTTAGGTCCGTTCTTTTTCCATTTGATTTCCCTCCCTCTTTTTTGGAATCGTTTTTCCTGCAGGGCAGCAAAGGCCTGTACTTGTACTACTGGGGCTTGTTTGATGGACATGCTGGAAGCGGAGCTGCAATCATGGCATCCAAGCTGCTTCACTTCCATATCCGAGACCAACTCCGGGACTTGGTGGACATCTTACAAGACCCTTTGCCTCCTCCAACCTGCTTGCCAGAGAGTTCCAGAGCCAGTGTAACAGAACTAAACAGGGCGCCTCTGGCAGAGGAAATTGCTGAGGTCCCAAACAGTGCACTGCCACGCTTCCATATGGAAAAGGTGGTTTCCAGCGAGAGTTTGGTAGTGGGAGCCATTGAGAATGCATTCAAGGAAATGGTGAGTAAGCAAGACAATACATGGGAAATGTTGGAGAAGGTGGCAGGGTTGATCAGAGCTTTGGGCTACAGAGAGCCCAAATTAATGTCCCAGCCTGGCTCAGAACTTTGGAAAGCTGTCTCTAAACCAGATTAATCTGCAAGAAATTAGTACTGTCTCAGTTGAGGCCAGCACTTCATTGCAACTTAAATTTCATACCTGAACCAAACTGAGACACAGAGTGTAGATATTAAAGCAGGGCTAGTTGATTTGTGGCCCTACCTATGTTGCTTAATTGCCATTCTGAGCATTCCCAATCATTTGGCCCTGCTGGGTAGTTATTTAGTCTGAGCCTACTGTGTATCACAGATTTAAATGAGATAATGATGGATGTGGTGCCCGCCATGATTCATCTTGTATACAGGTTGGAAAGAAGACTAAATAAATAATCATTTTACATTGGCTCAGGAAGCCCCCACAGTGACAGAGATGGCATGAAGTACAAGCCAGAGAGGCAGTGGAAGATAGGTGGGCCTGGCGTGCTCTGGTCCATGGGGTCACGCAGAGTCGGACACGACTAAACGACTGAACGACGACAAGCCAGAGAGATGTATTCAACAAGGATGTATACTGATCTTGCCTGGCTGTCTTCCATCCAGAATATGCATTTACTTCCTTTTGCAGCCAAGATGCTGACACGGCAGCCCATGATTATTTTGGTCTGACAGGGTATTCATTTACTAGCTACACATCATGAGCCTCTTCTGATTGGCTGTTCCTCTGCAGCTAAGCCTCTGAGATCTGAGCCCATCTCTGTGATTGTGATCATGGAATAAAATAATGTACACAGAAAGGGTACTTTTTGAATAGAAATGTTGTTAGGTACTATATGTATCAAGAGCCAGCATGTTGCAATGGCCAGGGTGTGTGACTTGAGAAAACTAGACTCAGGTCCCCATTGAGCCATGAAATTCAAAGGATGAATTCCCTGTCTCTCATCTTGACCTACTTCACAGGGTCATCATGATGCTAATAATGGGAAGAGGAGAGCTACATATGCCAGCATGAGCATGGTGGAGGAAAATCAGGATGTAAATGTAGCAAACAAATAAATAACAGACGTACCAGTTTAACTGTCATGCCTGTCCCACAGGCATCCCGGGAATTATAGACAGATGAATGTCCCCAGGGGACCAGACCCTCCTTATCTCCACCTGTGCGGGGGTATTCATATTTGTATGTGAATACCCCCATCTTTAATAACAAGTTAACATTTCCACAAAATATATTTGTTTTATATAAGAAGTGTATGCAAATGGAAACATTTTATTCTTTCTAATTTACCAGAGTCTCTCAGTGAATGTATTGATACAAATAAGTGCCATCTGAGGTGAACTAACAAATAAGGGATGGTCTACTATCAAATCTGCTCTGAGGATTCCTGACTGAACCATTTTTATCTGTTGTGTAATAAGAAGTTTAGTATTAATTTTAATTTTAATTAAGGACACACTCAGGTTTTCCTCACACCAAACTGCCAAACCAAACAGCTCAACAGTGACAGAGCCTGGAAAAGTTTAGCCCAGAATAAATATAGTATTGTAACTGTCTTGCCACCACTTTGAAAATATTAGTTGCTTTGAAAATATCCACAGATCTCTCTGCTATATTTCTTCCTACTTTGCACTAATGTAGATTTGCACAGATTAATTTTTTACATTATATTTTTGCTTCATAGTCGTTCAGAATAAATAATGGGGCATGAATAGGCCTACTGAATTCTGATAGCTTTGATCATTTCTTGTCTTAGTAAATAAATTTTTTTCCAGCTCTGTCTTTGAGGAATGCCTGCTGCAGTGATGTGTGGGCAGATGCTCAAACACCATTCTATTAACATTGTGTGATGAGAACCTACCACACACAAAGGATGACATCATTCAGCATATGGTGCTTTACAAGATTGTAGTGCACATTAAAGCCAGGCAAATACCATTCCTACAACCATGGAGGCACTTCAGGAAAAAAATGCAAAAGAGTCCTGTTGACTAGCAAGTCTTATGTGGTATAATTTTTCATGAGTTGCAACCGATTTTATCATCAGAATAGGGTTGCCAGGTGTCAGTACATCTGCAGACATCTTAGGAAATAGCTATGTTTCTCTTGGTCTCTTGTTAGGGAGACAGTCTCAGGGTGAGTGGCACTGGAGGGGGGGGAAGCTTGATTTTTGTGTGAGGTATCTGCAAAGCCTGGGCACCCAACCCCATCCATTCACAGCTGGCACCAGACCTTAGTGGCTTAGCAGCATTTGTGACACCAGAAGGATCTACTGTTGTGATATGATAATATCCCTCCCTGTAACGTTGCAGGGATCCACCCCTTGGTCTCAGGGTTTGGCCCTGAGCATGAATGCTGCTAACCTGGCAGCTTTACTTCAGAATGTTTATCTTATAAATATATTTGAAATGTTGTTTGTGCTCAGAGATCTTCAAAATGGTAACAGCATGTTACACATAAATTTACATGCTTAATACTGATTTCTCAGCTTAAACACTGTTAATATCTCAAAATTGGTTCACCCAGAGCCCTAATTGGGTCCAATGATAATCAGATTTTAGTAGGAGCTGATTATAGTCATTTGATAGACTCTTCCATTAAGTATGTCATCTAGACTTCATCCATGCGATCCTTTCCCTCTACCTATGAACCAAGCAATTTATCTGTTATCTACTAGGCTTTGGTCAATACTCTTTTAAATTATCACTCAGCAATGACTATTAAAATCAATTACAAATGGTTTGAGGGATTATATGCTATGGTTCAAATAAAAATACTAAAAGGCACAGGCTAAATGCTGTTATTTTAACTTCAATAATTGAATGGGTGTAGTTTTGAAGTTCATATCCTGAAACATCTACAGTACATAGGGAGATGAAAGGAGAGAGAAAAAGGTCATTGTAGAAAGCCTGAAACATCTACATAGGGAGCTCTATTTCTGGAAGTGAGTACAGGTTCAAAGGAGAGAGAAAAAGGTCATTGTAGAAAAAAACATTTGAGTAGAGAAAGAAAAGAAGAGGTCTCTGTGGATGAAGCAGGTTGAAACTAATGGGTTTCTATCATAGTAAAAGCTAGTTATGTTCACTAATACAGTACCAAAATCTGTCAGCCTTTAAGGTAACTCAAGAGGTTGTTTTGGTGCAAGAGACTACAGATCAGTACAGTGTCCTTCTGGAAATTTCAGAAGAGAAGGCACCGTTACTGAAGAGAAAATGTATTATCTCAGGCTTTCTGAAGCCCCTCTTAGACCCACAATACCAACTGGTAATAATGGAAGCCTTTCTCCCAAAGTTAATAACAGCTTTCAGAGAAGGCAATTTTCCTCAGCATTATGGTACTGGGTGACAACTTTAACCCTCCTTACCGGCACTGTTGCTGTCCCTAACTCTCTACTTCTTCGTCAGCTATTTAATGAATACAATTGCATGTCTGCCTTAATTCCTAACACACAATTAACAGACAATCCTGTTTGGTCCAAAATGGAAAAGGGAGAGAAGGGGGAAAGGAGTGAAGGCCTAAAGAAAACAGTTTGCATAAGATGAGAACTGTTTGTGGCTGAAAGCAGTTGCATTTGAGAGGTCACAAGGCTCTCATTAAGAAAATAAGGAACAAGTCTGAGAATCTTTACTCTAGGACAGGAACACATGAATGTAAATTAGAAAACTGAAAGGGAACTAAAAACCTATTCACAATATGATATGGAATTCCTGGAACCAACCTGTGAAATGGTTTTTCTGCCTCCACAGGACAATCAGATTGAGCAGGAACGGGTGACTCGGCACACGCCAGGTGGCTGCTGTGCCCTAGCTGTCATTTACCTCCTGGGAAAGTTCTATGTGGCCAATGCAGGTGACAGTAGGTAAGACGGGAGAGGCATTTTCTGTTGCTTACTAAGCTATAGCAGCCTGAATGTTGTAGACAATGGCAGAGAAGATTTCCTTGTTGTTTGGCAGCCTTTCTTAATCATGGGTGCCTGTTTGTTAAGATAGAAAGTGTACCCTTGCAAGTAGAACTGAGAAAACGGCGGCTAACCAGGGAACTTTGGAGGTGGAACCACAAACATAATTTTGCAAAGCTCTGCTTATAAGCAAGTGACCTTAAATTCATGGGACGTCCAGTGTAGTCCCATCAGGACTACATTGGGCAGAGATTCTAAGTAGGTGTTCTAGGTATGTGTGTGTTGATGCAACCAAACAAAATATTTGAACAAGCACCCAAATGGTTATTTATTTATTTGCTTGTTTATTTGCTTGTTTATTTGCTTGTTTATTTATTTATTTTTTATTTGTTTTTTGTTTTTTGTTTGTAAAAGCCCTTGTGTGTTCATCTCTATTCTGTACACAGAGCAGATATGGTAAACCTGAAGTATTGGGGAGTGATGATACTACTGCATGGAAATCCTAGCCTTGTAAAGACCTTTTTCAAACACTGGCTTATCCATTTCTAAATAGTTTCATGATCTATTTTGGGGAAACACCAGAGGAAATTGCTGAAAAGACATGGACACAGTCTTTTCTCAACTTGCTTGTCTCTGCAAAAAAGAAAAAAGTTGAAGATTATTTTGTTTCCCTCACCAGACAAGTTTCTGGTTCAATAGCTATGCTACCTATGTTCCCACTGTGAGAACAGCCACAGCGATCTGATGAAGTGCTTGTTGCCCACAACAAAGCACCCAGTCAGCACCTCACCACATCACTGAAACAGCTTTCTCATTTGGAGTTTCATTCCCCTAAATATTGAACAGGATACTTGCATTAGTGGACATTTAGTCCAGTCGTGTCTGACTCTAGAGGGCAGTGCTCATCCTCATTTCCAAGCCAAAGAGCCAGCATTTGTCAGTAAACAGTTTCCATGGTCACGTGGCCAGTGTGACTAGACACGGAATGCAGTTACCTTCCCACCGTGGTGGTACCTATTTATCTACTGGCATTTTTACATTCTTTCAAACTGCTAGGTTGGCAGGAGCTGGGACACGCCATCATGTGGATTCGATCTTACAATAGCTGGTCTTCTGACCTTGCGGCACAGAAGCTTCTGCAGTTTAACCCACAGCACCACCACATGGCATTAGTGTGCAGAGGTGCATTATTAGATTAGTCTCCAACTCGTTGCATCTGTTCTTTGCCGCACGTATAGGTTACACCAAGATCCAATCATTTAAATCTGTTTTCATTTCTCTCTCTCATCCCCATCCTCATTAAATCAACATAAATGAAAAGGCTGCATATCAGAGTATCACCTAGTCATTTTGTGGTCATTGTCTGACACACACAAAGCTCCTAAAGGCTGCATATCAGAGTGTCACCTAGTCATTTTGTGGTCATTGTCTGAGCCTCTGTAGAACAGGGGAGGGCAAACTCCAGCCTCCTCATATGGTGCACAAAGAATCCGGCAGAATCCGTCTCTCTCTCCAAACTCCTTCCTTCCCTTAAAAACCTTACCACCAGGGTATTCCCTATACTGCTCATCTTTGTGATTCAATAGCGGTCAGTGGGAGAATCTCACTGTTATCTACTGTGGAGTTTGGCAACCTCCTGTTGCAGAGAGAGACAGAGACTGGATATTGCCATTGACCAGAATTTCAGTGGCAACCAGGATGGTCCTCAATGCTTAGGGGAATCCGTTGGGATGTTGCCCACCCCTGTAGTACACGATTAACTTCAAGTAGTATTTAATAACACTTGTCCATGAGACTTGTGAATATCGATAGCAGTAATAACCTTTTAAAGTATACACTTGTATTCAACGGGGGTAAGAGCAGGTATATGGAATACTTCATCTTTACGCCAGACTTGGGATTTATTCAACCACAGTTTAGAATGTGGGACTCAGTGTTTTATTATTGATGATGTTGTTACATGTCCTTCTTTCTCCCTGCTCCTATAAAAATGTCTTGAATGAGTGAAGCACAAATACGCTGATAGTGCAGATCACTTCAGGCCAAACTATAGCTTAATGAAGAGATGTTGAAGGCTAATGCTATGACTAGTTTCAAAGTATACTCGTAGTGGAAAACTGCTTATGACTGGCAGTAGTGGTTTAAACCAAAGGTGGAAGAGGTCTAAGGCTGCAGGCACATCCCTGAAGGACTGCCCCCCATTTTCTTTTCCTTACAAAAAAAATGAATTATGAACCTCAAAAGCTTCCTTAACAAAAATAAAAAACTGGGGTGTGTACAAAGTTGTGGGTTGTTGGAGGCCCTTTAAAAAGAGGGCAGAATTGCCTTTGCAAGCCCTAGATGACACAAGGAGATTTTTGAGCTAAATGTTTATGCCCCCCCCCAAAAAAATTGTGGGGTGTTGAAGGATGAGAGATGCCAAGGGCCACATGCTTTCCACTCCTGGTGAAACACAGCAGACCATAGGCCTGGCTTCTGAGGTTTGCAGCTGTCTCATAAGCCATTGTTTATTTACAGTGGGGATTGTTACGGTATACAGTAAGACCCCTGTATCCATGGGGGATCAACTTCAAGCCCTCCCCCCAGATACTGAAAAGCACAGATAAGAGCTGTTGGACCCAGGATTCCCCTGTACCTGTAATATTTGTCTTGGTGGGGACTCTATGAGTAAGAGCTGGGTTGAAATCTTCTCTCATTCTTGTGCTGAAGATGGAAGATGGCCATCTCTCTCTCTCTCTCTCTTTCTTTAAAAATAAACCTTGGCTTCCCCTTCTGTACACACACACACACACACAGACACACACAGACACACAGACACAGTCTCTGTAGGTTTTCTTCAAAGACAATTAAGAACCCATTTCCTTGTTTGCTGGGGAGTATTGAAGAAAGGGCTAGCTGGAAGGCAGGAAGGGCAGGAGGTAAAAACATTTCCCAGGAGGCAGTTTGGCTTATGTTAGCTCCCCTCCTCCTGCCTTGCCAGCAAGGATCTTTCTAAGGTGCGCAACTGCGTGACCGTGCATGACTCCACCCCCTCCATGCAGCATTCATCCACCTCTGTGCACCCACACAATCATTTCCAGCCCCCCAAAACTTGTGGGGGGGTCCTACTACATCAGCAATCCTCAAATTGGCTTTTAGTTACATGCAACACTACAACAGTGTCTGTTGCCATAATTGTTTTTAGTGAGTCAATTCTGAATCTAGGATTACTGTTCTTCGAGCACCTTGTGTCTTGTTGAATTTCTTTTTGTAACCATTATAAAACTTTTAGAGCCCTTCAATTATTAACAAATTAAAATGAATTAGTGATGTTAAATGGGGCAAGGGAAACTTCCTGAACCATGGAAACCAGAGCGAGCAGGTATTGGCTTGGTTTCCTATGGAGTCTTCCACCTATTTGTCTTGTCATATGAACATTTCTCTGCTACTCTTCTTTGTAGTTCTTCACTAATGACTCCCTTCTCTTAGGCATATTGAAGAAGCCCAGTGAAAAATAATGGGTGGATTACAACATAGATATAGGAAATGAATTTGCCCTGTCTCTTGCTGGTAAGAATAAGAAGCAGAGCAGAACTTGTGCTAATGGGAGCACTGAACACAGGCTTGTGGCATGTTGTAGCTGTCATGGTTTCAATGAGATGAAACTATTTCATGAAGTTAGAATCATCATTTAAAGCTACCATAGCTTTAATGAAAGCTATGAATGGCATCTGAAAGCTTTGATAGTCGAGCAAAAAATGACAACCATGAGTTCAACTAATCATCTTTTGGTGAAAAGAACCTTGTTCTGTTTCAGAGCAGCAACACTTCTCTCTCCCAATTTGTCAACAACAAAGAAGGTTGGTGGACTTATGTACTGTATATTCTATCTGACAGGAACCAGCAAGCCCCTGGTCTCTTGGATTTGGGTCCTTAGGCACTTATTACATTTGCCATGTTTCTCTTTCATGATCTCTCTGTTCTTCTGCTCTGTTTTCTAATTTAATTTTCCTCCTCCGCTGATTCCTTTTTTTATGTCTGCGAACCAGAGCTTGGAAAAGTTACTTTCTGCAAATCCCAGAATCTCTTAGCCAGTGTGGTTAGCTTTAGCCCCCAAGGATAACTTTTCCAGTCTCTCTTCTAAATTAATTGATATTCCCCCATCCTATGTTTTTCCAGTCTCTGAGTTAAAAATAAGCAATGGCAGCTGATTCCTGAAGAGACACAATTGAATATATGGATCGCTTTGAAGCAACCTATTCATGGACATCATGAATTCATCCATCATTAAGAAACATTCATGATTTGAATGAACTGGTTCTAGAGTTTCCACAGCCATAGCCTTGCTCTGTTTGCCTGAGGCTAGTCCTAATTCTAATACGTATGCAAAAAAAACTCAGGCTGACATGAGTGTCCCACTCTCTAAAGAGGAACCCATGATACCCTATTGCAGCAAAACCAGTGATGTGACGTATCTAGTTTAAAGGTTAAATTTAAACTATCATAAATTTCCCTGGTCTACAATCTACTTCATTAAATATCTTGTATGTACAGGGAATTCTGTCATGCAAAGGAACAGTTGTTACATATGTCTGTGCTGAAAATACTTTCCTCCTTGCCTGCCTTCATGTGTTCCTCTATGCTTGGCACTTTGCATAGACTGTGAACAGTACTGGGATAGGATGTGGCAGACATGGATTCATACATTTATGGCTCTGAGCAACTAATTGCTGCTCAGCCCATATTTCCTTATCAGGGTGCTTTGGAAATAGAATAAAGAGCTACTATAATCAGCCCCACTTGAGTCTTTGAGATAGGGCAAGAAGGAAGGCAAAGACCAGGCTTTTTCTTAGTGACTGGCTGTTTGAGAGGGGTTTTTCAAAATGGATTGTTGTGCTTTGTTGCTTTTAAAATCTGTTTTTGGTGTTGACTTTATTTACCATTTTTAATATAATACTTGGTTAATATTTATATACTTATTATTTTTTCATTTTAAAATGCTGTCCTTTTAATGATGCAAGGTGCCTTGGGTCCTATTATTTTTTCATTTTAAAATACTGTCCTTTTAATGATGCAAGGCGCCTCGGGTCCTTTGAAGGAAAAAAGTAGAGTAAAAATATTTTAAATAAATAAAAATTCAAAAAACATTGGTGAAGATCCAGTCATGCAGTTCTGCTACAAATATAAAAGTACAGTATACTTCTTCCATCAGTGGGACGAGCGGAGGTGAGGCCTTACCTGGAGAGCTGGAAGCCCCACATAGTAATTTTCTGGACAGCACAGAGGGCTGAAGAAGTTGGGGTGGGAGGAAACTCTCTTGTGCTAGTGGATGCCTCCTGTCAGAACGCTGGGTTTAGGCCAATCAAAACTGAACAAGATGCATTCAGGTGAAAACATTTTCCACACATCTTTGTGATAGAAAGAAGAATTTAAGTCCATGAGGGAGATTTTGATTGGTTTTTGGACTGTTTCAGAATGTGAAATACCAAATGTCATGAACCTCTGCATTGTCTCCTCCTGCAAAAAAAGCCAATGTTTACCTCCTTGGGGAAAGAGACCACTTACTAGGTGACATTGCCTTCTTTGATCCCTTGCCCAGCCCACATATTTGTGGTCTCCAGCTGAACGCTGCACCCCTTTGCTCTCTTATGTGTCTGCTCCTTGTCCTTCCTTTGCTGTCTCTTTTCTCTCACACACTCTCTCTAATGCCATCATTCCATGTTTCATTGCAGGGCCATTGTCATCCGTAATGGGGAAATCATTCCAATGTCCAGGGAGTTTACTCCAGAGACAGAAAGGCAAAGGCTGCAGTTTTTAGTAAGAAAGATGTATTTTTCTTCCTATCTGATGTGTTTTTAATTCAACACGACTGTCACCACTTTCATCACTTAGCAATGCTGGCCAGCTCTTCCTGGAACACTCTTGAGAACTAGATTCTGTAATAAGAGTGACTGCAAATGCTCCTGTTGTTGATCGGAAAAGACAACTGCCTGCAGGCACAGCTGGATAAAACACAGTTTTCTAGGCAGACTTAAGCAAGAAACCACTGAAATGGCCCAGCAAGTTCCAGGAGCATTGTACATTGCTCTTATATTTCTTGAACAGTATCTCCCCCTGCCCCCTGTGGGCTATATGACAAACTGCCTTTGAAAATAAGGGAGTTTGTAATAAGGGTGACTCTCTGGTCCAAAGGAAAAGCAGGAAACTGCAAGGATCCAGGTGCTAATATCTCCCAGTATGTCTTAAAATCTTCTGAAAACTAGTATAGGTCATGTAAGCTATGCTGTGATTCTTGGAAATTAGATTTGTTATCCTAACATATGCTGAAGATTCTGGCTAACTAACAGCACTTTGAGATTAAGCAGGTTTAAAAGAGTGTATAAAATGTATAATAGATTCTGATGAGATAATAGACTCTGAATAGAGCATGGCTGCCTGAATATATAGACATTTTGTCAATTAATTACTTTATGGATTTTCCAGTAAATCTGAGGATCTAGCAATTGTCCAGATACAATAGTTAACACATTTCATCTTTTCCAGCCTCTGGACTCCTCAATCATTCTCCCCATCTGCCTTGGAAAAACTGCTTTATGTTCCACAATTTAATTAGCTCTTAAGGGTTGAAACAGAGTCTAGAAATTAGGCATATACAGATTTGTGGTTTTTGGACTACATTTCCCAAGATTCTCTGCTGCCTGGGGAGGATCTTGGAGATGTATTCCAAAAACACAAGTATCCACTTTTCTGCTAGAAATGCTCCTTCTGAGACTGTGACTCCCAGAATCCTTCAGTTAACATGACTATGCTGACTTGAGGAGGGGGGGTGGATTTGAGAACTATTGTCCAAAAACAACTTTTCCAAGCTTTGAGAGGGAAGACCAGTGAGGACCAGTGTATCAGATGCATGTATTTTAAAGTGAAACAGCTACATTTTCAAGAAAAAAAATAAACTTTAGAGGAAAGGAAGAAGTTTGAAGCAGAGCGGTGGTAGAGGAGAGAGGGTTAAACTCTTTCCTTGCTCAAAAACTTTTCCCCGTATCTTTACTTTTCCCTGAGGATAACAAATGTGTGTCACTAAGATAAACAACCTCTCTTACACACACAAATACTTGCACACTACTCTGTCAGTGTGAAAGCTGTTTTTACCTAGAAATAGCAACTGTTGAGCTTTTGTTACATTCATCTTTTAGCATAGTGTGAGTTATAGTTTAAGGCATAGCGGAGGAAGAAGGAGATCCTGTGTGACACATTGTGAGAATCCCAAGTGTGAATGAGCCGCAGTGTTTCTGGCCCTTGTTTCCTGGCTCAAAACACACCTTCCTGGCAAAGCACCAAAGGGAATCTGATCTGCTGTTCTCCTCTATGCCTTGAGAAAGGAGGAAATTGCGCTGAGTAACAGAATCTCTTCAGTTGGCTGTGGTAATGAAACTGAGCACTCAGAAAACTAATCTTGTACTTCCCCCACCAATTTCAAGGCGTTTGCTTTGAGCCAAAACCCTTTTATAGCTTAAGCTCTTTGCTGTAAGTGCCAGAGTGATGATTCTTTGCCAATGTGATAGGTGATTGCTGCTCTTTCACATGCATTCTAGAAGACAACCCCAAGCACAGGATTGGGTCTGTGGATCTCCCATCTGTGTTTCTTTCTACCATGTCTCAACTCCTACTGTAATAAGGGTGCCTACTGAGATTACTCAGTGTGCATTATTAATTACATCCTTTAAACTAGAGTGTGAAGTGGGCAAAAATGCAACATTTCACACCCTTTCAATACATGTTTGATGGGTCCAGCATTGCCCAGAGCTTTTTTTAGCTGTGGGCCCCATTGTCCTCAGGCTTTCCTGGTTACTGATACTTCCTTCTGAGTTTGCATTGCTGGTTTCTGTGCTGAGGTTTTGCATGGTGAGTAATTACCTTTCTTTGGGGTATCCCTGCACAGCATAGCTTCTCTGAATTACTCAAGCCTAGATTAAATTACTTAGACCAAGAAGACAGAGAAAGCCTCTTCCTCTGGTAGAGTGAAAGAGAAGACAAATCTTAAAGCTACCTTTGCAATACAGATCTTTGATTTCCATTTCTTCTATTTGTGTTGGTTGGGGTGGGCATGGGAGAGAGAATGACAAAGAATTAACAAAGTAGAAGCCAGTATTGAACTGGAAGTACTGTATAACATGACTGGGCAAATACAGTTTAGGCTGAGTTATTAGAATTTTATTGTCTGCTGTGTCAGACTTCAGTGTACAAACATCTGTCCATGCACTCCTACTTCTAAACTCCTGCATTACTTTCCCTAAAATTGTATCTTACTAGTTTCAGCTTCTGTTTCCGTTTCATGTGCCATTTTGGCCTGGAAAAAGATGAATAGCCAACTTTCTCATGAGATTTGGTCTTGACTGAATGTTTCAGCTTGTACTCAGATAGGAAACTGCTTTATCCATCATCTGTTCTTTGTTAAAGTGGACAAGCACAGAAATAGCCAAGTAAAAAGTGAGATAAGAAATGCAGATGCCTTTTTACAATGGGATCCACAAACAAACAATATAGGAACAATGCACAGATTCCAGTTTACTATGGTATTTACTCTGTTGAATGTAAATTAGAGAATTTTAGCTTTGTTCCAAAGTGGCAATTTAATACATACTCTGGCTTGTTATGTTTTCAAATGCTCACCTGCTTTGGAATTTCTCTTTGTGGGGCTTCCCTTATGCTATAGGACCCATAGAAATGTTCCAGACTTGGCTTTCAGTTCTTTTGGTGGGGGACACCCAAGTGTTTCTCAATGCTAAAGCTGTTGTTTTCCATTCACAGGGCTTTTTGAAACCTGAGTTACTGGGGAATGAGTTTACTCACCTTGAATTCCCTCGAAGGATTCAGCAGAAGGAACTGGGAAAGAAGATGCTATACAGGGACCAAAACATGAATGGCTGGTAACCCTTCATCTTTTTTTGTCTAGAAAACTTAGGATATCATAACAAAACAGGAATTCAAATTAAAGGAACTAGTACATGTTGTAATCAGAGCTGATCAAATTGTCTTCTCCCACTAGGTCACCCAGGAATAAGAAACACTGTTTTTCTCCTGACTGCCTTTCTGTTCTGTTATTAAGGCTGGAAAAAGATGGCCTTCTTTCATTTTCTCCCCACCCTATTTCTTTAAAAGAAGTTGCCAGTATCCTATGGCTAATCCCAACTACAGTAGACTTGTTGACTCAAAGGAATTTATGTAAGTCTTGACTTACAGCAGTTCAGCAGATGGTTCAGTGGGTTAGGTGGAATTAGCAATAGAACTAGAGAACTAGTAATAGGATACTAGCCATAGTTACATATATTCTGTTGCTTCTGGTTTTATTATATTTTTGTTGTACTTCTTGCTTGATCAAAGGTAACACTGGAAGAAGTAGTATTTGTGTTCACATATGTGTGCAGACATGTACACCCATGTACTAAGGGAAATGACCCAAGTAGGCAGATTGAGATTTACTGGTAGAACTCTAGATGATTAGCAATTGTTTGAGCAATAGCAGTAATAAAATATCTCCCTTTCTGCAACCAATTATACTGAAAAAAATTCAGATAACCAGGAGTATATTTTTGTTTATTTGGAAGCAATTCCCTATCTCAAAATTCTTATTTTTGCACTGGGCTTCATCTGATTGACCATAGGATTCTATTGAAAATCAAAGTAGATCCTATAAGCTGTCTTCATCACTAACTCAAGTGGAATGGTGCTGAACTGGATACCAATAGGCAGTTGTCTAACCAATCTAAGAGTATCCGAACTGCAACAACATGCTTCATTGTGTTTTCTTTTCTATGCAGGGCCTATAAAAAGATAGAAGAAGATGATCTGAAGTTTCCACTTGTGTATGGAGAGGGTAAAAAGGTGAACTCCTGAGGACACATGGAAGTATTTGAAAACTGGAGAACATTCTCCATGAGCGGAGGGAACGTGAGCTTTGAGCAGATATACACATAATACAGATAAAGTAGTGTTGAGCAACTATGGCCCACTAAATGCTGTTCAACTTTGGTGCTGTCCACCTGACCCAGCATAGCCAAGGGAGAAGGCTAACAGAAGTTGCAGTGTAATAATATCTGGAGGGCCACATGTTCCCCATTCCTGAAATAAAGTTTCATTCTGGAATGTTGGGATCTGAAGCACATATTCTGACGCTAGATTCAGGTAAAATATATTCTATGGCTATGCCTGTACTATGCAATTTTCTTCAGTTGTTTGTTTGGTGTGGGTATTGTACCAAGGGTGAGCAATATGCGGTCCTAAATCAATAGTCTGATTTTCAAAAATCTAATGTGAGCAATCAGTTCTGACCTCTGGCAAGTGCTTACACCGGCAACACACCAGGCAGAGAAGAAAAGGGAGTGATTAAACTAGGAGGGAGAGGAACCAAGGGTAGTCTTTGCTTTGGGTTCTACCCCATTTGTGGCTGATTTTGATCCATCAAAAATAACTTGAAAAAGTTAATTTTGTAACTACAGCTCTCAGAATCTCTCAGCCAGTGCTGCCAGCTGTGATGCATTATGCTGTGATGCATTTACTCCAGTTTATTTGATAACTAATGGTTTATTAAGTACACACTGCTTTTTAATGCTGTACACTGCTAGGGGAACAAAGACTCATTGGGCTAAGATTTTGGTATCAAGAAGAGGTAGTATGGATACTTTGCTGTCACACCCAAATTTTGTGACTGAGACCTGTGTTCTACAGTTCATTCAATTTCCTCATTCTTCTCTTCTCATCTACTCATATACTTAGGTGTATAGTTTGGAAAAAAAAGTTGTACAAGAACGTGCACTGTTTGTGCTCTTTTTATTTTTTTAATACAAATATTTGTTCTAAAGGCAGAGAATAGTAATTGGAAGAGGAACTGTAATGTGCACAGAAAAACATTCCAGACTGGCACAAATTCTGGAAGTGTGCCATGCAGAATAAATGGTGACCAAATTACATAGGGAAACCCAAAATCTATTGAGTATATTGGTATCAACCTTGAGGGAGAACTTTCTCTGAAAGCTTAAAATGTTTTATCTTTTGGTTTTGAGTATGCCAGAGTGATTAGAACTTATTTCAGGCTTCTGCTTGATTCACAGCCTATTTTACTCTTTTGTTCAAATTAGGTGTTCACACAGAGATCGTGAATTGTTTCAATGCCAGTGTCTACATTGGTCCCTCAATCCAATGTAGTTTGATTAACACCACAGCCCATGGCCCCCTTCTGTTGATCTTGCCCTCTGCCAATCCCTGACTCTTCCTGTTATGGTCATTGTAAAGCTGGTGGGCTGTTTAAACTGCTGTGCAGCATGAGGGGAATGGGACGGTTTTCCAAAGTTCTTGTTAAAAAAAAAAACCTTCAGGGGAATCTCACTCAGTTAGTGCTGAGTTAGTGCTAGTCACAAAGAGAAAGGTATTAAGAACAGGTATATATGATGGGCTATGCCTCTAGGATACAAAGAAAATCCTTCAGGGCAACTAGGGAGAAAGATTGTAGTGAAGGGTGTTCCCATTGTCCAAAACACCATACTCAGCTTAGTCTATACCACCTACATGTCACCCACAGTCATACTCCCCACCCCATCCTTATGGAGAATTAAATGACCCATCACACAGAGAAAACACAATTCAAATCACTCTGGATTTTAAAAAGAAGCCCCTAGTGATGGGGGGAAATCCTCTGCATCTGAAGCAAAACAACAACAACAAAAAACCCAGGCTGATTTGCATTGGTCTTTGTGTCATGTGATCAGTTGTTAAAAGTTTGAATTAATCTGTTCTACATCTGCAGCAAATCCCACTCAGTTTGCCAGTGTAGTTGCAGCCGCAGTTACACAAACGCATTTATTCGTTGTCACTAGACATGGGAGCTTTGTATTCATATCCCAGGGAATACAAATATGAAGCTTGGCACAACAGGTGCCATGGTGGTGCATTCTACCCCCACATACTCACCAGAACCAGCCTGTCCAGTCACTGGGCTCTTTGCAGCGGGCACCTCTGACAGCTGTAACATCACACCAATTGCGATTGCCTCTCCCCTCAGACGACTGCTTAGCAACTGAGCATGGAGACTTATCTTTTCACTTCCTTGCTGGATCGGTTGGTTGTGAGGAGAGGCAGAGCAGTGCTGACAGGAGTATGTCCACAATTGGTGCCCGGTGAGTGGACCAGGCTGGTTCTGGGAGGGGCAGGAATGGATTGCTGTGGCACCTGTGGTGCCATGTTTTGTATTTGTATCCCCCAGGATATGAATGCAAAGCTCCCATGCCTAATTGTCACAATATTACTGTTCATTTAAAATTTGTGTTTTCAGCTTTTACTCTCCTTCTAGGCGAGAATGATGGCAACCATTGGGGTGACTCGAGGCTTGGGAGACCATGATCTCAAGGTCTACAGCTCCAACATCCACATCAAACCTTTCTTGTCCTGCATCCCAGAGGTACGTGTATCAGAAAACACGCTTCTGGTTCCTTGGAATAAAATACAATGGTGCCTTGCTTGACGAAGATAATTTGTTCCGTTGAAATTGCTGTTAAGCGAAATCCTTGTCAAGCAAAATGAAAAAGCCCATTGAAATGCATAGAAACCGGTTCAATGCGTTCCAATGGGCTAAATACCTCAGCGTCCAGTGAAGATCCTCCATACGGCAGCCATTTACGGTGCCTTAAAGTGAGGAATCCATCCTGAAAACACAGCAGGGAGCCATTTTGCACAGTGGGCAGCCATTTTAGAGCCGCCGATCAGTTGTTTCAAAATTGTCGTTTAGCGAAAAATCGGTTCCCGAAGCAAGAAACCGATCATCGTTAAGGGCATTTTTACCATTAAAACATCATTTTGCGATTGCAAAAGCGATCGCAAAAACTTTATCGTCAAGCGGTTTCGTCGTTTAATGAGGTAATCGTTAAGGGAGGCACTTGATGGGTCATATTACAGGAAAAGAATTATGGCTAGGAGAACTTGGAACTCCAGTAATGCAACTGTGAATCAGTACATAAGCCATGTGATGTTCTTCTCCCATCATTTAATGAGGCCACTATCCTATAAATATAAAAGTAACGGAGAAGCTATATTTGCCCCAATAAGGAGAGGAAGTATCCCTCCTTAAGTAACTATTTTAATGTAGCCTAGTTTCATCTTAATTATAGTGGAAATAAAGAAATTATAAGTAACTTAAAAATTGACCATTCCCCATTAAGCAGACTGAATTGACCCCAAAAAAAACTTGATGGGTTTCGCTAAAACCTTTTCACATTGGTGCCCAATCTGACTTTTTGTCTGTGTCTCTAAAAAAATGTGAATACAAAATATCAGGATCCATGACCCAAATAAACAATGCCAAAGTCTGACTGTGTTCTGGTGGAACAGCAGGCAAAAGGCTATGCTGCCTGCCATTTGGAATTGTGTAAAGAAAAAAACTATGAAACGCCGCACTTCCCTGTGGATGAAAGGTCTCTTGCTGTGGGTACGCCATGTTTGCAACAAGGCTGAATCCTTCTGCTTTTCTGCAGGTCCGCATTTATGACCTCACACAGTATGAGCACTGCCCTGATGACGTGCTGGTGCTGGGTACAGATGGCCTCTGGGACGTCACCACTGATCAAGAGGTAGCCAGTGTAGTACTTGATGTTTTGATGTCCTATGAGCCCAATGACCCCTGCAGGTGAGTGTTGTGAATGACAATAGGAAGCCATTGTCATGCAGCCTTTCAGCAAATCACCTTTCCTAATATTGATTGATTGGTCTATCGATCTATCTGTCTAATAGAAAACAGCCTTAGGAGTCTGTAATTTTCAGCAAAGAAGAGGCAATCTTTGGCCTTATTGGATTTATATCCCACCTTTCCTCCAATGAGCTCAAGGTAACATACATTGCTCTTCTTCTCCATTGTGAGATAGGACAAGCAGAAAGAGAGAGTGAGATCAGCCTGAGCTTCCCCCAGTGAGTTCCATAGCTGAGCAGGGAATTTAATCTGGATCTCCCAATTCCCAGCCGAGTACTCTCTAATACTATATCATGATGGCTATTATATCACAGTGGGTGTTTTGGAGATTCATGATGCTGGGGATCTGTGACATAGACTGGTTGGTGTGGGGTTTTCAGGCTCTTTGGCTGTGTTCTGAAGGTTGTTCTTCCTGACGTTTCGCCAGTCTCTGTGGCCGGCATCTTCAGAGGACTGGAGTAGGAAGTCTGTCCATGCTGTGTTGGATAAGGTTTTATTATATGACATAGACTGTCATATAATAAATGGTTGCAAAGAAACAACAATAAAATAGTTTGTTCTCTATTGTTCAACAGAGAAACATGGCATATGTGCTCCTTTAAAATATATATGTGTGTGTGTGTATATATGTATGTATCTATGTGTGTGTATATATATGTGTGTGTGTGTGTGTATCTATATGTATATGTATATGTATATATGTATGTATATGTATATGTATATATGAATGTATGTGTGTATGTATATATATGTGTGTGTGTGTATGTATGTATATATGTATATGTATATACTGTATACGTATGTGTGTGTATGTGTGTGTGTGTTTATGTATATGTATATGTATATGTATATGTATACGTATACATATGTATGTATGTATGTATGTATGTATGTATGTATGTATGTATGTATGTATGTATGTATGTATGTATACACACACACACACACACACACACACACACACACTCAGTTTCAATGAATGCTGATGACTCTGACATCACAGGGCAGTTGATCTGTTCAGAGTTTTAGTCCAAACTATACACTGATACATTAATGTCCAATAATATAACTGCCATGCTCCATGTTTTTATTTTTCTATGCTTTTAATTGTGTTTATTGTATTATAATTTTATCCTCACTGCACTTTATGATTTTTTATTTTCACCCCTATGTTTTAATGTTGCTATTTGCTATTTTGCTACTTTGTTGTTTTTTGTTATTTGTTGTATGCCCAGAATGACCTTGGCTGGCAGATGGGCAGTGAATGAATGAATGAATGAATGAATGAATAAATAAATAAATAAATAAATAAATAAATAAATAAATAAATAAATAAATAAAATAAAATAAAATAAAATAAAATAAAATAAAATAAATAAAGTGGCGAGCCAAGCTGCTGAACTAGTTTTGGGGACAGGGATCAGCACATTGGATAGTCCAAAAGGTTCGGACTAAATCCATGAGCAGATATGCTGGTCCCACAATATAAAAACCTGCTACCTTCACTGTTTAGTTCACTTACTTCAGTAGCCTTTGCGGTTGCTGCACACTTTCATGTCACAACTTCCTCCAAGAAATTCAGGCTAGTATACCTGACATTTTTCTCTGTGCTATGCTCACAACAATCTCTGAGGCTCTTTTGCCTAGGATCACCTAATTAGTTTCATGGCAGAGTGAGGATGCTGTATGAATCTACTTTTCCTTCAACCAAGATCCGCTCTTTGTCCGGTATACCACAGTCATTTTTGATGTCTTCCCCTTACATGGCATTTTGGTTGCCAGCTGTTTTGTTGTTTTTTTCTAACTCAAAGCATACTCCAAAATGGTAAAACGGTATCATTGATTTCCTTTCTAGTTCATAGTTTCACCTCCTTCAATTAAGTGTACGACATTCTTGTTATAAGCATGGTACAATCTAAAATACATATTGAAATAGTAGTGTACCTGATCATATCTCTTGCAATTTAGATAATCTAATAATTAAGGAGACCATGGGTAGAGAAGGGGGACATTTGGGAAGCCTGACCAAGTCACTACCACAGCTTCTGTTTCCAGCAAAATGACTCCTGGGCAGAACATTTCCCCTACAAAACAGACTTTGCTGTTACCACCCATTCTGCTTGGTTGGGTATGGGGCAAGGAATGGTCAGATTATACAAGTAATCCTAGCATTTTCAGTGAGATGTCTGTACACCAGTGCCACAAATAAGGACAAGTGTACAAGCTGGGGCAAGGAATGGTCAGATTATACAAGGAATACTAGCATTTTCATGTCTGTACAACAGTGCCACAAATAAGGACAAGTGTACAAGAGTGCCAAAGAGAAGATAAAGGTTTGGAAAAGTTGCAACAGTCAAAAATAAGAAAGATAAACTTAATCCGCATTCTGTACATACCAAGTACAGGTCTCACTCAGAACAGAATCCCATATAAAGAGATAGAACTAAGTATTTACTGCAGTGAAACAACAATCAGTTTTCATTGCCCAACTTTTAGACCAATCAGCCATGCAAAGCAGATTTAATTAGCCACTCACTGCCTGAGTTACTCCACAATGTTGTCCGACAACGTGCACTACTGAAACAGGTAAAATGTTCATTCCTGCATGAATGCAGCTGACTGTAGGTTACTAATTAGTGAGGCCTCAACTCTAATCTAACATTTGAGCCAATAGATAGCAGGAATAGGTGTAGTGCCTACACTTCTGTCATGGAAAATGGCAGCTTTCTCTGAAACTCTCTGAAATGCAGAACTGAACAACATAGATAGAAATGGTTTCTTCAACTGATAATTGGCTTCTTCTTCTCCTCCTCCTTCTTATTCATTCGTTTGTTTGTTTGTTTGTCCTCCTCCTCCTTATTTATTTTTTTTTGTTTGTTTGTTTGTTTGGTCTTTTCCAGGTACACCATGGTGGCCCAGGAGTTGGTGATGAAGTCCAGAGGGGTATTGAAAGACCGTGGCTGGAGGCTGGCCAATGATAAGTTGGGCTCTGGAGATGATATATCTGTTTTTGTTATTCCCTTGGGTGGCCCAGGGAACTACACCTGAACCTTGAGTCTTGGGACACATGGTTTATATCAGACTGTAAAAAAAGAAATCTCGCAGTTCAACAGGAGGCTTTTGCTAGAACGTTTGTGCTGCCTGAGTCTTCTGAAGAGGAGTAGAAAAATATAGGACTGCAGCTTTGAGCCCTGCTTTCTTTCCACTTAATCGTATTGTGTCCAGGTTGGGACATAAGACACTGTCATGGGCTATATGCCTGTTAAAACCAATGGACAAAAAACTAAGCTGTTCTTCTCAGGAAGTATTCCTGTCAGCCTTGGAGACCCATAGGAAATCCCATATTCTAAGAGCTGTATTACATTTGGCCTTATAGTCCCTTGGGAAGGGGTTGGTTAGGGCCTATGTTTTTTCTTCTTCTCACAACTATATGGAAACATCTATATGGAAACATTCACGAAAATGTCGTTAATATTGAAGTCTCCTTTATCTGCAGTTCTCTGTACCTGGAGAAAGTCTGCAACATCTTAATGTCATAGGTGAATAATCCTTCCAAAGAGGCAATTCAAGTTCCCTTCGCCAGATGCCAAGGACACCTCATCCTTCCTAATGACAATGGTGCCTAACTTGCCTAGAATATGCTGCACTGCTCCAGCAATCAATCCTTTATGCTAATTACTAAAATATCATGTAGTAAGCGATGATGATTAGTTGGTTACCATCCCCCAGGCAGCATATGGAACTTTCATTCCAAACCAACCACTGCAAATGTAGAGAGAATGCAGAGTATTTTTATTACTTTTGTCAGGGATTTCACACAGTACTCTTGGATATTGCTGCAACTTATCCAGGTGTGCTTCTTCTTTGTAGATCCTGCTCTTAATGGCAAGGGAAAGGTACAAGAGAGTCCTGCTGCAGAAAATATAACCGGGGGAAGTCTACCTTTGCCAGGTGGCATGAAAGAATAAACACAGAGGATGGGACACATCATGTTGGTTGGCTAAATAACTAGCCTTTAAGTAACAAGATCTAGATATCAACCACAATATATGAAGTGGCATATGATGTGCACGGAAGGCAGGTGAGGACAGAATCATAGAATAGTTTGTGTACCAAATCTATTCACTTGTTGCCTTTAACAAAAAGGCATGTGTTTCTACCTCAGGAACCCAGAGCACTGGGATATTTGCTCAGTAAATTTTAAAGGTGTTCAAAAGGGTGATGAGATGGGGGAGCCAAAATTTATCATGGAAATCTGGTGTTCTGTACGGTGAAACTGAGAGTATATCTCTGTCCTGGTGAGCTCTCAGCTTCAATCTGGTGCTTGCAATGCAGCTGTGAGCAACCGATTATTAAAATGGGGTTTCAAGAACAAAATAATTATAAGCTTACAGAAGATAGCTGCCACCCATGTAGAAACTCTAAGCACAGTCTCTTCAGCTCTGCAGAATACGTTATTAGGTTGGAAGCTGTGCTCATTTATTTGGGAGTAAGGCTAAGTGTTACCCTGTTTAAATCTGAGACTTGTTTCTAAGTAGGCATGTATCATCAGATTGCTTTGCTAGTTTACAATCCTATGCATATTTACACAGAAGGAAGCCCTTTGAACTTAGTGGAGCTTCTCAGTAAACATGAATAGAATTGCACAATTAGACATTTCCCCATTATACAAAGGCCAATCCAGGAAGTTTGGATTTACATGTTATGAATGAAAACAGAAGAAAGAACCAAGTGAAGGACAGTGGCTATAAGTTGCCATCACAAAGTAAAAATTGTTTAGGACTCTTGCATTGTCGGCAGACACATTGGTATTGATCGTTTTGTCCTGCTATTACTTTCTGGTGAATGTGATATGTATCTTGTCACCAGTGAGTGATGAATAAATTGAATGGATCTCTTGGGAACCACAAGGAAGGAGATGGTTTTTTAATTCAGTAAAATGTCTGTGTGAGAAGAAAGAGCAACATCCCAAAAGCACATCAAACTCCTTGACTCAGACAACAAACTCGGTAGCTCTGGTAATGGAGGGTGACATAATTTAATGAAATATTGGTTGAGTTAATAACCCCTTGTTAATAACAGATACCTGCAAATAATTGCTTGAAGACTTTTAGAATCTAGGTGGAATTTCTGCACTAATTTTCAAGGGCTAATGATACTATATAGCATAGTGAATTGGCTATCTGGCTGCAGAGCTAGAAGCTGGGAATTCAAGTATCCTGCTGTGCATCCAGGGAGAACAGTCAGCCTGTGTAGACGTGGACCCATTCAGTCAATTGATGAATGGTAAATCAGCACTTACGTAAATCCTATTGAATCAGCATGTCTGCTCTAGCTTAGCAGCAGGTTTTTGTTTTTTTGTATCTACTGATTTTTTTTAAAAGAACAGTTACATTATTCGGGGTGGGACATGCATCCTACAAACAAATGCACTGGCTATATACTTGTTCACAAATCCAAATTTGTTGCTGTGCAACAAATAGTAATCCACTTGGTCTCTGCCTTATACCTCCCAACTGCAAAGTATATTGAACCTGTTTGGTTTTGTGGTGAATTAGTTTTATTCAAGTGGAATGTTAAAGGTGTGTACACCTTTTTGTTTCGTTTCTGAGTACATGCTATATGTTACATAATTTTGCAACATGTAACATTAACAAATGAGATCCTGTTGCTTAGCAAAGTAAATTGCACAAAAATAGCCCCATGGGATCAAGGGGGTGTGTGGCAAACCAACTTCTGTAGGTTCCACTGATTCAAACAGACCTACTCTAGTCACAACTTACTACATTAAAATAAGTTGTAACTAGAGTAGACCCATTTGAATCAGTGGTACTTACAGAGGAGGCTTGATGTAATCCACAGAAATTCAATGGTCTTGTTTTAGTTCAAATTCCTACACTAAGCAACAAGATTTCAGCCAGTGGAATAATGTCCACTTTAGAATGGTCATCATGCAGCATGGAGGAAAGCAAGTTGTGATGACGACACTATGGGAAGTACTTATTTAACCAATCTAATAAATTCAGACCCCAGATACAAGTCTGCACATAGAACTTATGCTATACAGTTGTGCCTCGCATTACGATTTTAGTTCGTTCCAGCGAAATCACTGTAGAACGAAAATGTCGTAATGCGAAAATAAAAAGCCCATTGAAACGCATTGAAACCCTTTCAATGCATTCCAGTGGGCTGGAAACTCACCATCCAGCGAAGATCCTCCATAGGGCGGCCATTTTCGGTGCCTGTGCAGCGAGGAATCCATCCCAGAAAACAGCGGGGAGCCATTTTATTTACCCGGCGACCATTTTGAAACAGCCGATCAGCTGTCCGAAAATCGTCGTTTTGCGAAGAATCAGTTCTCGAAGCAGGGAACCAATCACTGCAAAGCGAAAAACCCCTATTTAGACCATCGTTTTGCAATCGCAAAAAGATTGTCGTAATGTGGTTTCGTCGTAATGCAGGACAATCGTAAAGCGGGGCACAACTGTAGTTAGGTAAAGGTAAATGTTCCCCTTGGCATTTAGTCCAGTCGTGTCTGACTCTAGGGGGCAGTGCTCATCCCCGTTTCCAAGCCGTAGAGCCAGTGTTTGACCATAGACAGTTTCCGTGATCACGTGGCCAGTGTGACTACAGTTACATAACTGTTATATTGGCATACGCTATATGTACTGTATATTATTAATGGGACTTCTAGTGCAATCTCAGCATTACATTTTCAGAGGTCTGGGCTAGATCAGACTGCTTATTTTGTTGGAGCTCTAAATGCAGAAGAGACAAATGCATGCAAACAGAGGTGTTTCAGATGCTACCACAGCCACAATGAAGTACAGCGAATTAGAAGAGAGGGCTTTTCAGTGATGCCTGTGAGGCCAGCTGTGTTTGAATCTGGTCTCCGTTTTCTGTAATGTCCCTTTATTTAAATTCATTATATGTCCCTGAATGCTGTGAGGTTCCGTGCTTTCCTTGACTACATGTCCAAGTACATGAATGCTTTATCTTTTCTCATTTGGAAACCTAGGTCAACTAGAGCAGTGGTTCTTAACCTTTATTACTCGGATGTTTTTGAACTGCAACTCCCAGAAACCCCAGCCAGCACAGTTGGTGGTGAAGGCTTCTGGGAGTTGCAGTCCAAAACTCCTGAGTAACCCAAGGTTAAGAACCAGTGAACTAGATCACTGGTTCTTAACCTTTGTTACTCAGATGTTTTTGGACTGCAACTCCCAGAAGCCTTCACCACCAACTGTGCTGGCTGGGGTTTCTGGGCATATTTGTATTACAGTAGGACCACGAGAGACCAGATCCAAGCCCCTTCCTCCTATGAATGCTGAAAAACGCATAAATAGCAGACTCTCTATATCAGTGGTCCCCAACCTCGGACCTCCAGATGTTCTTGGACTACAACTCCCAGAAGCCTTTACAACCACCTCTGCTGGCCAGAATTTCTGGGAGTTGAAGTCCAGGAACATCTGGAGGCCCGAGGTTGGGGACCACTGAACTAGAGGACTCTGATATCAAATTTAAAATTGAGAAAGAGTCATATCCCCTAAACCAGCACTTTAAAAAAATCTTTCTCTCCATTTCAGTTTTATCTCTTTAGGTAAAGAGATTGCCTATCACCTCACTAAAGCAGTGGTATACTTTAATTTTACTTCTCAGTATCCCATTCTCATTGTGTTTGTAAGATCTACAAAGCATTAGTGGCCAACAGAGGGCAGCAGTGCTGTTTTTAACCTGGCACTGCTTCCTTCCTTCAGTCCTTACAGTTTCTAATCTTTCCAGGAAGAATTGTTCAATTAATGCTTCCATCATCCTTTGTGGACATTTCTTCAAGTTGCTGTTTGAAATGAGAGGATCTGTTTTGGCTGGAATCCTGTTGCTTAATTTAGAAAGAGATGTAGATTGCAGCCATTGAATCAATGAAATTTATAGAGGTGCAAAATTCACCAAATCCCCACTGATTCAATGAGCCTACTTTAGCTGTGACGAACTGCACTAAATAACAGGATTTCAGCCATTGAGCCCAGCATGTAATGTTAGCTGGCAAACATTTTTCAATGGTCACATGATCTGATTTCCAGGGTGTAATGGGGACTGTAATTTTTGCAAAGGAAAATTTGATTAGGAGCCAAAACTGACTTGTGTCAATTAAGATGTGTGGAAACACCCTGAGCCACTCTGTGCCTGAGTAAATGGCACGCAGTAAGTCAAAGGCAGCCTGCTCTGTATCATTTAGGAGACAATTCCAATCTGCTCTATTCTCGGATCCTAACATTATCTCTTGTGTTCCTGCATCCCTGGTCTTATTTTAAAATCCCTTGAATGGGGCGGGGGGGGGAAGGGGAGCATAAATATCTGTGACCCAGGGGGCAATGCTGTGCCCTAATTATGTGACCTACCAACTTGGAGCCCGAACAAAAATAATTCTGCAGCCTCACACAAACA